CGTGCTCCTGGGTTTGTCGACATTCGGTACCCATCGCCCCGGTATTATACCGATAAAAATAAGTACGGATTCGATGAAAAGTCACCTGACCCCCGCTTTATAGACAAGTTGGATGTGCTTTTCTGGCGCGGCACGACTACCGAAGGGGCGACTACGTACGGAACCTGGAAGGGCATGCTTCGCCAGCGACTTGTACATCTCTTAAACAATGAAACCTCGCGACAGCCCATTCTTTTGCCAAAGACTGACCACAGCGGTCATTTTGAGTACATGCTCAAGCGCACAAACGATATCAAGAGACTTCTTGAGACCAAGACTGATGTCCGTCTGATTGGCCCAATTGCCCGTTGTGCCGGCACAGACTGCATCGATCAGACGCGTGAGTTTGGATTTGCAGACCCCATTGACCTTCGGCAACACTGGCGCTACCGTTATCTCTTCGATACAGACGGCGCCGCCTTCTCGACCCGCTTCATCCCCTTTCTCCAGTCAAACTCGGTCGTCTTCAAAGCTGCCCTCTTTCGCGAATGGTACGAGGGCCGTCTTACCGCCTGGAAACACTTTGTCCCCGTCGACATTCGTCTGCACGACTTATTTTCCAGCCTTGCGTATTTTGGTGGCTATGGCGTCGAGGAACGCAACAAGCGCATGATGGAAGGGCATGTCAAGGCTGCCGAAAAGATTGCACGAGATGGCAAGGTGTGGACGGAGAAGGTGCTTAGGAAAGAGGACATGGAGATTTACATGTTTCGCCTCTTGCTTGAGTGGGGCAGGTTGACGGACGATGCGAGGACGGAGGTGGGGTTCCGAATGGACAAGGGGCAGAGGAGTGAAGAGAGGGAAGTGCAAGAGTTGTGAAGTGGAACTTGAATTGGCGTTTGTTGTTACAAAGGCGTTTTTTGGGTGGGATGGATAAGCATTGCATGGGCGTTTTTCTCTCTCTTATCTTCCTTTTTCCATCTTTTCCATCTTTTCCATCTTTTCCATCTTTTCCATCTTTTCCATCTTTTCCATCTTTTCCATCTTTTCCATCTAGACTTTGCAAAATCCATACAACGTCTATTCTTTTTTTTTGGCTGCTCTACCGCAAAATATTTCATAAAACTACTACACAATACCAACAAACAAACAATATCACATTCAACACCTCACTCTCCTCTTATGACTCGGACTATCCATCCAACTACCCCCATACCCTCCCTCTCCATCCTCCTCGTCGTCATCCTGATCCACATCCCTCAAATCGATTCCCGTAACACCATCGGGATCATCATCATCATCACCACCGCCCGGGCTCCAAACGGGGCTCGTCGCAATCAATGGTCTCGACTTGAACACACGGTCATAATCCACCTCATCGCTAAACAACTGTTCCGTAGGCGTCCGTTCAAGACCGGGGCTTTCCTCTGCACCTTCGACTGGTTCCACGCTTCCTTGGCGCAGCATTTCAGCAGAAGACTGGCGATTCCGTGGCGGGGTATCGAATTGATTTACAGGATACAGACTCTGGCGGCCGCCGCTGGGCTTGCGCTGTGGCTGCGAGGGCGTGCGGCGGGGAAGGGATTGCGATGCGACCATGCTCAGACGAGTGCGCTCGAGGAGGTCGGCGGCGGGGTTGGGGTGGTTGGCAGGGAGAGGGGGTGGTGCCATGGAGGGTAAGGGGAGGGGGGATTCGAGCGTGTGTTCCGAAGAGTTTGCGTGGGACATGGTTAGGCGGGTGCGTTCGAGGAGGGAGAGGGACATGCGGGGTTGGGGTTTCTTGACGGGGGATGGGGTGGCGTTGCCGATCGAGTTTATGATTTGGTCGGCCATTACTTCCTCAGGGTCGAGGACTGGGGGTTCAGATGGGTAGTCTGCTAGTGGGTTTGAGGCACGCTCATTTGGCGAGGGCGAGGCTTTCTGGACTGTGAGAGTGACGGTAGCTTCAGGACTCTCCGTCTTGAGTGTTCCTTTCTTACGGGGTGGTGTAGGTGGTGGAGACTTTCGTATCGGCGACCCAGCATGACGAGCTGCTGGTGGTGAGCTACGAAGTGCAGAAGCTTGGCCAACCAGCGTTGCCTCTGAATCAATCGGTGTAGACGCCGCCGCCGCCGCCACGTGTTGTGACGGCTTCGGCAGCGTAGGTACTTTCTGCAGGGAATTGGGTCTTGCAAGGTGTTTAGGTTTTGGTGGGACCACTGGGCTGGTCGGCGACGCAGGTACCGGCTCAGACAGGGTCGGTTTTCTTTTCGGAATTGGTGACTGCACCTCTTGCACTTCTTTGACTTCCTTTGCGGGCGAGGCACGTCGTCGCGGTAGAATAGTGGATACAAGACCTGCTCGAATCTTCCCGGCGTGTTCCAATTCCACATCCATATCAGCCAAGATGTCACGATATTCCACTCGCATTGCTGGCCGTTTAATCGCCGTTTGCTCCACTGTCTGTTTCGAAGACGGCAGCTGGTATTGGGAATGGGTGTCAAACTTGAGTTCCCTGATCGGCGCCACATGCCTTGAATTGACCCGGTTTTCTTTTCCAGAGGCGTCCTTCTGTAATTCCTCATGAAAGTCCTTCCATTTCTGTAACCGCTCTTGCTGCTCCTGTACTCTTAATTGTAGATTCTCCAACAGTCCGGTCTCTGGTGCGACATCTTCAAGCTTTCGCCCTTTCTCCACCATGTACCAGACCTTGTCGAACCGGGTATTGAGGAAAGCATCTCCTGTATGAGTTTCCTCACCATGGAGCATGACATTGAGCCACTTCTGATTGCCTATCCAGTTGTCTTTGAGCTGCCTCTTGACAGCATCTGCCTCCTTCTGTGACACAGCAGGCTTTTGTGCGCGAGGAGTGTCTTTGCACTTTCGTATACAGCGATTGATATCTTCCACCTTCTTATCCAGCATTGCTTCAAACTCCATGTACTTTCTCCTCTTTTCTTCCTTCTTCTTCAACACATTGATTAGTGCTGCGCGGTGCGCAATTGCCAATGGAAGTAGTGACCGTTGCTGGTCGACCGGAAGCATTGGTGCCGTCGCCAGCCTTCTTGCGACCGCCTCGTTCCGACTTCCTCCGTCCCGCGCTGCAAGCACCTTCTTCAGGGTGACATTTGAAAATATCGCAAGGATCTCGTAAAACTTTTCGCCCTTGCACTCATCCAGCATCGTCTTCCTGAGAACAGACTCTCTTCCCAATACACCATTCTTCTTCAACTCGTTCAAGCATCGGAAGAGCGCGGCGCGGAGGTTCAGCGACTGAAGTGGTTCGAGGGGTGGAAAGAACGGTTGTAGCTTCTGTGATTATGTCAGATGCAGAATCCACATGCGCAGCCAGTCCAAGTATACCTGCGCTGTCTCGCTGGGATCCCATATCTCAAACAAGCGGAACAGGGCCCATTCGGTTCCAGCGATCCTCTGCCGCTGATCCGCATTCTTGGCCGAGAATGTTTGCACAGTAATATCTGGCCAGTCGTCTCGCAAATCAAAGTCTAGCAATCGCAAATTGGTCACAAAGAGCCTGATATCAGACGCTGGTAGGGGGTTTAATTGCTGCGGTTTCGCATTGTTTGCCTTGACGGATACAGTTCGCACGTGGCCGCTGGTCGTGGTAGCCGTGGTGGTCGTAGAGGAAGCCGAGGTAGTGCGAGACATACTTGCAGTCGCAAAAGAGACATGCGCGCAACCGGAACCTAGAAGAGAGAAAGAGAGAGTTATCAGCGCTGGTTGATGATGTGTAAGTATGCATGCGTTGGTGTTGCGGTGTGGCAGGCCCCTGCACTGTTTGCCAAGCCGGGCCCTATCGATAGTCGCGTTCGCGCCTTCCTGATCCCGGTTTGACCCTTGTTCATTGCCGACTGCTTTCTCGTCACTGGCCAAACGCTTTGTCCCGGCTCCCCCCACACATACATATATATCTTGTGTCTCTATAGAGGTATCACAACCTGAGTCAGTTCAATCAGTACATCGCCATCATGACCGTAGACGAACCAACCCAAACCAATGGTGTCCCCGAGCCCAGCGCTGGCAAACTCGAAGCAAAGGATGCGCAAAAGCAACAGTGGACAGTCGAGAGCGGTATGTCATGAATCAAGCAATGGCTCGTCCGTATGCGAAACCTCTCTTTTCCCTAGTATTGTATCACTATCAAAACTGCCCTGCTAACATGTCCCTGCAGTACTCGCAGACATCAAGCCTCGCAACGCCGAACACACGGACTCGCCCGTTCCCTTCTTCCACCTGCTCGAGCGCCTCAAGACAACAAAGCGAGCGGGCTGGCGCCGCTTCGGCATCTCGGACTGCGAATCCATCGCCGACCACATGTACCGCATGAGCATTCTCACCATGATGGCTCCCTCGTCTCTCAGCTCCAAACTCGACATCCTAAAGTGCTGTCGCATGGCCGTTATCCACGACATGGCCGAGTCACTCGTCGGTGACATCACACCTGTTGACAACGTCAGTAAGGAGGAGAAGAGCCGCAGGGAGACAGAGACTATGGACTACATCTGCACCAACCTACTAGGCAAATTCAATGGCGGCATGAACGGGCAGGATGTCCGCGCAATCTGGCAAGAGTACGAGGACAGCAAGACACCAGAGTCACACTTTGTCCATGATGTCGACAAGATTGAACTCCTGGTCCAGATGGTCGAGTACGAGCGCAAGTATCACTGCGAAAAGGACCTGGGCGAGTTCACGTGGGTCGCAGGACGTATCCAGAGTGATGAAGTCATGGCTTGGGCCAAGCAAATATTCCGCGAGAGGAAACAGATGTGGCAGGATGCGGGCAAGACGCCTACATGGAAAGCAAACACAGAGCCTGAGGATTAAGAGAAGGAAAAACAAACAAATGAAACTCAGCATGACGGGAGCGTCTTTTGGAACGAAGTTTACGAATGTGAGCACAGTGGGAGTAAAGGCAATAGACGGAGTATGGCGGTAGAACGTTGTTATCACATTGACAAAAGAAAATTAACTATTTCACACTTGGAATAACCCCAAAATTCTAAAAATGATATATACAATCAAGGACTCGACAAACTAACCAGTCGTCTCCTCTTTGTCTCCTTCGCCACCGGCGTCGAAATCCCCGGCGACAACCTCATCCCATCTCCCACCACACTCCCACTCCCCGCACCCATGTAATCCCCTCCTACCGCACTACCACCACCCCAACTCTCCGGCCTCGCATACTCACCTTCTCTAATCTCCGCCCCACTCCTCCGTCCATGCCAGTAGCACAAGCCCTGACTGGGCCCCACGTACTTGTCGTGCAGCGGGCATAAGGGGCTATTAGGAAGATGTTCAGGAACCAACCACTCGAATTTCCTGCGCTCCTCTTCCTCCTGGCGTGCCAACGCAGCCACAGTGTGTGAGTCGCGCAAATCAGCGTCGTCTTCGTGGTTGACGCGGTACCAGCCGTCGTGGCCAAGCATGGGTGAGTTGGCAGCGAGCGAGGGGCTGAGTGGGGGTTTTACGCCTAAGAAGCCGTGGGTGCTGTGGGTACGTTGGTGGTTGTGGTTGGCTGTTTTGTCAAAGATGGAGCGGGAGCGGAGGGCATTACGGAGGGGACCTTCTGGGCCTTCGTCGTCTTCGTCGTCTTCTTTTTTGGCGATGCCGGTGGACAGGCTCATTAAGAGGGCGTCGGAGTCCCAGTAGCCTTCGGAACCGGAGAGTGGTTTTTTGCGGGCACCTTTTGCACTGCCGTTTTGGAAGTCGAAGAGGAAGTCTGCCAATTTCCCTTTGAGTTCGCCGTTGGCATCGTACAGGGGTGGTGTTGGCACTCGACTTAAACCGGGTGGGATGAATGCGGGTGGAACTGGGATATTTGCCAGCGACGGCGACGGGTATTGGCCTTGGTTGTTGTGGCTTGTAGGATCAGTCGAGCCTGTCTTTTCGTTTGACAATTCTAGGGCGGCTTGATCGGAAAGGCGATTCGAGCGTTTGAAAAGATTCATGGATAGCCGACGTTTGGAAAGTTCTGTCCCAGAAGCCGGAGCTGCATCCTCACTGGACGTCATGTATCGCTCTCTCCACCGACGCATTCGGGATTTCATCGAGTCTTGAGCCACCTGTTGTAAATCTGCCGTAGTACGGGCTTGCATTCTTTCATCAGCTAGCGCCAACCCTTCACCCGGCATCTGAGCTACATCCAAATCGCTTGTATTTGTACCATTTCTTGATCTCTTCGGGAGTGGAAGACTAATGCAATGCCGGTGCCTCACCTTCGCTGGCGGCCGTTCGTGTGTTGGTAGCTGCAAGGAGTCCAATACGTCGTTACCAGGCAAAAGGCCCTTGCCACGGTGGTTGTCATGGTTCAACGTTGTGATATTATCGCCCATGTCATCTTCCTCCTCGATTGGTGAAGACTTGGCTCTCCGGTCCGATTCCCACCTTGGCTGCTGGTTGCGAATCCATGGTGTTTTAGGACTGCGTGGACGAGGGGCAGCCAGATTGCCCGCCATATCGACCGGATAATGGCTGCGAGCCGGTAGATCTGGAACGTTTTTGGGCATCGATAAGTCGAGGTCGACTTTCCGGCGAGCCCGAAGCCCGCTGTTTGCTGGTGGCTGTGTGTTTGCTGATCTGACGGGCTTTTCAACCCCTCTTGATTGCTCGTCGATCACGACGGTCAAGTTCGAGAACTTCTCATTGCCACTATTTGGATTAATAGATGGTTCGTGAGCGAAGAATAGACTGCTGTCTTTCTTCTGTAGCTTTGAAATGGCATCTTCTCTCGAATCTCGCCTTTGCTCATCTTCTTTATGCTGTGGAGGGTACAGTATCCTAAAGTCTGGTACATGTCTTGTCATTCCCTTTGCAAAGGCCATGATGGAAGACCTGCGGTGGTCTTGAGCATTGTAGTCGCTCTCGTTGCTGGAAAAGGACTCGACTAGGCCAATGGCGGTTGGCCCGGCCGACTCCATACTGTCAACATGGCGAAGTTTATTGTTTTGAATGTTAGCATCATCAATGTGAGTTCGTCTCATGATCTCTTCAAAGGATGGAGGCGACCTTGGTCGGTCGGGCTCTGTTGTCATTGCGTGTTGACTGTGCCTGTGGTGTCCGCTATGTGGCTGTTGACCCCAGCTGAAACCTTCGCGCCTGGCGTCGTGCCTTGAGGCAGCACCACCGTCCTGTCCCGATGTTTCTGTTCCCAAGGTCTGGTCGGCATGCTCTTGCAATGTGGTGTAATGCCTGGTGAGAGGCTTGCGCCAGATTTGCAGTGATGAATCTTGGGCGTCGCTGGCAGATGAAGCATCCTGACCGGGGCTGTCTGTAGCAGTAGCCGAGTATGCCGCAGTGATGTCTGGTGCGTGGGGTTTAGGTGTAGGCGCCGATAACATCGGCGGGCTAGCAATTGCTGCCTGCGTCGAGGAGAGAGTTGGCGCTTCGGCACCAGGTCAGTCGTGCATCCAGGTAGTTTACTAACAATCTGCTGGTTTGGAGCTTATCAATAGGTGTATTGCGAAAGAGGGTGTAATGGAGATAGGTGGCGGGTCATAGTAGAAAGCAGCATGCTGTTATGGCCATGGATGTTCATCAACACGCATCTTGGTTTGCCGTATGGGGAAGGAGAAACAGGCGACAAGAGATCTTAACAGGGAAGCGGCCAGTCATGCCGGGCTGGCGCATCTGGCTGCATACCCAACTTCCCAACCGGGCCACTAGTGCCCCAGACTAAACTCCACTAACACCATCCCTATGCTCGCATATACAAACAACTATCCAAACAAGTAATCCAAACCGTGTACCCTGGGTATCGTATCAAGCCATGTCTCGTTACACGTGATACTCTACTCCCGCCTTAGCCTGACGACCCGGACGTTGCCTGTACCACGCTCGTGCCGTCAACAAAGCGCGTCCGGAAAATGCGATTCGCATTCTGGAACATGCCGTCCTTCAGACTGACGACAATGAACTGCGAGCCCTTGAACCTGGTCTTGAACAGACGGCCAATGTTTTGTGTATGCGACAGATCAAGCGCGGCGTCAACCTCGTCCAGGATGTACATCGGCGCAGGCTTGAACTGGAGAAGGGCCATGATAAGCGAGAGTGCGATGAGAGATCTAGCCAATGTTAGTGTACTTCAGGTAAGCGCAACAATTCCGTGCTTACCGTTGACCACCACTCAACTCGGTCAAGGACTGTTTCCACACCTTGCCAAGCATCACCTTGACCTCCAGTCCGTCCGAGATTGTCTTGCCTTCGGGAGGGTCAAGCTTCGCAAAACTACCAGGCAAGAGCTCGTTGAAGATCTGTCCAAAGTCGCGGTTGACAATCGACCATGTCTTGTGCAACGCCTCTTTCTTGTACTCGTCAAGCTTGACAATGGTTTCTTCAATCTTGGACTTGTCTCGAACTACCGTCGACATGTTCTTCTTGAGACTGGCTTCCTTCTTCTCTACGCTGTCAATCATGGCCATGACTTTGGGGTTAATCTTATTCTTCTTTTGTTGGAATCGCTCCTCCAGCGACTTGCGCCGGGCCTTTGCGTCCGACATATTTACTCCCTTGAAGTCGTACACTGTGCCAGGCCGACCGAAAAGCTCTGAATCGTTGGCGATGAATTCGTACTCCTTCTCAAGTGCCTTGATATGGCCCTCTGCACCTTCTTGTTCCTTGTGGAACCTTTCAATCTCGTGGCCCAGCTTTTGTTGCTCGAGGCCACCTTCCGTTATAGCGGAATTCTTTGAACGGATTGCGTCCTCGAGTGAGCGAAGCTCCTCGTCGAAGCCAGTCAACTTCGCCTGCTCATCGCTTAACTGAGCCGCGGCCAGGTCATGTGCATCCTGACAGAGTTAGCACTATTACTAATGCAGTGTTGAGAGCATTACCTTGACACGAGATTGCTCAGCCAGCAATTCATCGAGTTCCTCTTGCTGTGACTTTAGGTTGGTCTGGACTTCTTCGAGCTGCTCCTGAGCCGCTGCGAGATCACTTCCACACTGCTCAGAGTCTACCATGGCTTCGCGCATCTGGGTCTGGAGAGGTTTTATTGAGGCGTTGTTCTTCGCCAAGGCCTTCTTCAGCTTCTCCAGAGAAGACTGTAGCTCTGCAAGCTTGCTGTCCTTGTTGTTGCTGAACTCGCTCATGTCCCGCTCGATCCGCTTCGCGTCCTTGTTAGCCTCGTCTTGCCGGGTTTTGGCTGCCTTGATATCTTCTTTGAGCTGAGCAATGGTCTGCTTCATTTCCTCGACAGCTTGTATGATCTATCATATGATTAGTACATTGACTAGGGATAGGACAAAAAGCAACCACATACCGATGAAGATGCGTTGCTGCCAATCTGCTCCTCAGTAAGCTTGATCTCGTGCTTCTTCAGGTCGAGTTCCTGCTTTGACTTGCGTGCAGCATCCAACTTTTTCTTCTCCTTTGCCATGGTGGCTTGCAAAGATTGAAGCTGAGCTTCCTGCGACCTCAGCTCTGTTGTGATCTGATTGAGCTTTTGCAAGGTGATGAGAACTCCACTAGACTGAGGTGCGCTACCACCAGACAACACACCGGCAGGGTCATAAGTGTCGCCTTGAAGTGTTACGCTCTTCATGCGTACGGCAGGATCGAATGTTACGCGCTTAGCAGTTTCCGCATCTTCGCAAACAAGGGTAGAGCCAAAGACGTATTCCATTGCGGCAGTGACCTCGTCGTCATATCCAATCAATGACAGTGCTAAGTCGACTTTGCCTGGCGCAATCTTCTGAGCTGCTCCGATCTTCTCTGCTGATGCTTTGAAGGCCGCGATTTTATTTAAAGGAATAATCGTGACTCGCTTCTTGAGCCTGCCGTTCTCGAGAAGTTGCTTACCGGTGGCAGCAGAGTCGACGACAACGTTGTACAGCCGGCCTCCAGCGCAAATCTCTAGAGCCGTGCCCGCTCTGGTATGCTCCTTTTCCAACGTGAAGAGCTGAGCAACAAGACCCTTGACGCGAGACCTATCAAAGTTCGGCGATGGGTCACTGTAACTAAAGTCAATGTTGGCAACCTGTCGTCTCATCGCGTCCGCCTGCTGCCTGAGTTCACGGATGCGCGCCTGGAGATGTGATTCTTGCTGATACATGCTTGCTTCTTGGCCCTCGTCGTAGCCTAGCTTCGCTAAGTCTGCCTCAAGCCTTGTAGCCTGCGACTTGAGGGCTTCAAGATCTTTGAGTAGTCCAGAGTTCTGTTCTCTTGCCTTTTTGGCCTTCGGCTCATCCTCCTTGATCTGCTTCTCGAGATGCGATATCCTTAACTTGCTTTGTTCCTGCTCTGTCGCGGCTGCACTGGCTCGATTTCTGGCATCTTGTAATTGACCCTGGTAACCACCTTCTTGGCCTTCCTTTGATGCCACTCCGGTTTGCAGAGTCTGGAGGAGCTCCTCTTTCTGCTCAACCTCCTCCGTCTGTTTTGCTAGCTCTGCATGGGCTGTTTGGTATTTTTCTTGTGCCTTTTGATGGGCTTGTTTCTTCTCTTGTAGCAGTTTCTCAAGCTCTTTCACGCTCTTCTTGACACTCTTTTCACGCTCAACTTCTTCGGCCATGCTAGTCTTCTTAAGCTCCAGATTCGTAGTCAGACGGACGATCTCGTGGGAATGTGCCTTGACCTCCTCTTCGAGTGCTTGGAACTTTCCACCTTTTCGGAGCTCTTTTTCCCTTGTTGCCTTTGTCTGCCTGATGTCTTCTTGGAGATGTTCGATCTCCTTCTTCATACGCACAGTTGACTCTTCAAGGTTCCTTGCTCGCTGCTTCTTCGCCTCGAGATCTTCCGCTGATTGTTGCAGTCTCTCATTGTATCGCAGATAGTCGTGTGCTACGACAAGTTTGGTGAGACGCTCCAGCTCGCTCTGCGTCTGTTGAAATTCCAAAAAGGCCCTCTTTTCCGTCCGCAGTTTTTCCAGCTTTGGGTCGATTTCATCGCGTAGCAATTCGGCAATCTCCTGAACCTTCATCTCCTTCTTTGCCATGGTCTTGTAGGCCTTGTCTCGCCTATCCTCAAACATGCGTGTTCCTGCGGCCTCCTCAAGCATAGCCAAGATTTCCTTTGCCTTCATGTTGAGCACCTGCATGACCTTTCCTTGTGCAATCATAAAGTTGGGGTTGTTGATGTTGAGCTGCACAGACTGGAATAGATTCTGTATGCTCTGCTGTTGCGCGCGGTGTCCATTGATGAGGTATTTGCTCGCTCCGCCCAGCACAATCTGTCGTGTCACTGATATCTGCGCATGTTCCTCAAAGCCGACCGGGCTCTTTGTTTTATCACGATTGTCGAATACGATGGTAACGCTCGCTTTGGTCACTCCGGCTTGACCACGCTTATAGATGAGGTCCTGAAGCCGTATTAGCACCTCGCTATGTTCCACTGCCTTGTTCTGCCTACCTGCAAGTTCTGCGCTCGCACAACGCTGAGATTGTTGATACCAAGCACAAAACATATTGAATCAAGAATATTTGATTTTCCTGATCCGTTGAGTCCTGTAATTGAATTGAAACTCTCGTCCCTGACTACGGTGAGCAATGTGTCCCTCTCATAGCGGGGGAGTAAACACACCAGCCTGAAATGACTGTGCGCACAGCGTACGACTTGTAGCCCTGAGATTATATTAGATTTGATCGCATAGACATAGAGTATCTACCGACATCAATGACAAGTTCTATGATCCTCATGGTGGCTGCATGTGCTGGTGTTAGTTGCTCGATGTTTGTTGTGTTTCGCGTGTAAACGGCATTCGGAAGCCAGGGTTCTCTCAAAGGGGTTAGATCCAATCTGCTCGCGCTAGTATCCCCGCTGTCACGTGGTAGCGTGAGAAACCACGCGTCGGCTCCGTCAGTACTATGAAAGGTTACAGTGAGTCGCGACGTCACGAATTACACAGATTCTAGCATCGGTTCAAGGCCGTCAATTTCGTAGATTACTACTGCATGCAAAGGAAGGAAATGCGGGCCCTTCCGCTGTGTACAAAACGCTATCATCGCTAACCAATGCAAAACCAACCCGAGTATCGTACAATTGCTGACTACCGCGCCCGCCCTAGCAGGTACTCCGGCTCAGCCTCTACTGCTTCACTTGATTCCGTGCATGCAGTCTTCGAGCAACTCTTTCTCCTCGGCAATGCCTCTGCCGATTCCCTTGACTGGATACTTGCTACAGCTTTCCAGTCGAAGGCGTTTGCGTCCACATCCTTGTTCTCAGGTGGCGGCAATGGAGCAGTCCTTGGGGCACCTCCAACCTCCAGATCGATTTCTTCATTCTTGTGGGCGGGGACATCGAAGTTGAAGTTGCCCATCATCTTGGAACCATACGACCCGAGTTTGCTTGGCCGATGGCCAGTCACTGTTCCTTCGTGATAGTACGAGGCTTTGCGGTTGGTGCCATATTGTGGGAACAGATGCCGGAAGAGACACTTTGTTGCGGGCGCACACGCTGTCATTATATGTACAGCTGGCTCAGCGGTACTGATTACAATCCCGATATCCCATGTGCGGTCTTTGTTGGTAGGTGCGAAGCGGTAATAGTACACAATGAACCGCCCAACGGAGACTCCTGTCGCGATCCATCCTAGGCTCATAACAAACACTACCAGAATCTTCGTGCGTTGGTGCATCTGGAGATTCCACACCATGATCGTCGGAATTGGCATAATGATGAGATCCATGAAGATTGAAAGACCACAGGACACCAGAACGAAGGTACGGGCGTCGATGCATTTACCGCCTGGTATGACAGTTCCATTGGGACCAATCTTGTCCATGGCAGGTCGAGACCAGACATAGGGGTATGGAGTGCATTGGGTCAAGTTGACGATGGTCGATCCTACGGAGTAGACAATGTTGAGCCAGGCGACAATATGCAATGGATATCGTACTCGCCGACGGCTGTCCTTCATCCGGAAGAGAAAAACGATGATTGAAGCTCTGATCAACCCCATGACTAAAACTATGTCAGCGAAGATGGTCCAGACACAGACCTGGAGAAGCACATACGTGGGTGATACAGCATCTGGATTGAAAAGTTCCAGTGTAGAGCAATGAGTTGCTCATGGACAGACTTCTTGGGCAAGTCATACACGTGGTAACCTGTACCACTCAAAACGATGTAAACCCATGTCGCAATTGTATCCGCGAGGAAGATTACAGCTGCGATGAGGATGAGGTAGTCGTCCCAACAGAAGTTTCGTCCAAGGTACCGGGACCACACCCTCAGAAAGACCGTCAAGGAAGCGACAACTGTAAAAGTACAGACTATCGCGAGGGCGGCAGGCTGTCGGTTCTCGATCATTCTGGAGGCGGTCGTCGCCCGCGGCGAACGACGAAGAAAGTCCCAAGGGTCAGACCTGCTGAGTTGTTGACGATGTAGGAGGTACCTCCCAGCTTGATGATCTAGAAGCCGAGAGTTCTCTGGTGTGCGATGATCGTTGGCCCTAGACAGATGATCACTATCGCGAAGCGAGTGTGGAGTATCGGCGCGATTCGACGGGCTTTTGGAGAGACGAAGCGGAGAAGATGAACGGTCTTGGTCCACTCAGAAAGAACCAATGCACCTCCGACGGGTACCTTTGATGTTGTTGCCCTACAAGTGGATGGCTCAGTGCGTGCGAGAGGTCGCACAGCCAGTGCCTTGAGAGCAAAGATTTGAAAGGATTCGCCCACAGACAACTCGTCGGCGAGGTTGGAGACCAAACCGGACATGCCGCTGCTCTAGACTCTGAATCCGGTATAACAACCCGTCCAAGCACCTGAGACATTGGTCGACATTGACACTGGCCCTTACGCGCGAAACCACCGCGGAAGCCGTCTATCTTCCGCCTGTGTAGTTTGCTGCCGCTTTACCACAACAAGTGCTAGAGTGTCGCATGAAGCTGAGAACGGCTCGTTTCGGACCGAATTCGGGCTGACATGTCTAGCCGTCCTGTGAACTCTGGTTCTGGCCGCTGGCGCAAGGCAGGGCAAGGCTCGAGTACGAAAACTGCCGCGCACGACTACATACCCGCGAGTCAACGGCTTGGTATGCCCATGGTTGTGGAAAAATGTGACGTCGATCACTGAGCCTAGCTTCTTTATGCCTGCGTGTGGCTTAAGGGGAGCATTTCTATTTGGTTAGTTTATTGTCCGATACGGGGACCAAGCCAACTACTTACTCAGGATGTCCACGTTCTTGCATACATCATACAACATGTCACTCGATATCTGGACGTGTATGAGAAAAGACGAAGCTGATGATAATCGGCCTCGTGTTTGGTGGGGGTCACGGTGAAACACAGATAACGGTAAGGGTGAGGCTCAAGAGGGTAATGGGAATGTTCGTCGATCATGACTCTCTACCATGACGCTAGCATCGCATTAGCTCAAACGCAATGCCGACCCCGGACATCAAGCTCCACTTCTATTCAGAGGATACATGCCGGGCTCCAGTCCTTAGCATGGTACCTGAATAGCACGTGGCTGCCCACGGGCGCCCGCCTTGCGTATTTTCACACATTTTTGCTAAGGGGTCAGGGGTCCGTTATCACTGCAGAGGCCGAGACCCAACTCCGACGATGCATGCCCGTGTCTGTGAAGAAACACGCATTTTGCCACATGGTCGTACGCAATACTATCACGGTGTGCGTGGATAGGCTGTGAGTCGATGGATCAATTCTAGCCCCATGTCATCCATCCCGGCTGCCCCAACTGTCAACGCGTCTTTCTGTACAAGATCAGCAGTCACATTCAATGCGACCGCATTAGCCCACGTCGTGCCAAGGACGGCATGCTCAATGTTGCCTCCTAGATTGAGTCAGTCAGTAAGATGAGCAGAATGGCCGCCCTCTTGATACTCGTCCTACCGCGTAACGGTCCGTAGCTCGCCAGCTCCCGCAAGCACCAGAGGGAAAGGTAAGCAATAGCAAAAAACGATAGTACGAACAAACTTTCTGATGAACATTCAGATCAGCATCTACTCAGACTGTGGCCGATCCCTTGCCAAAACTTGTCCTCTCGGTCTGACTCGAAGACCCTAAACCGGGACGCAAAACCGTTGCGACTATGGCTGTAACGTTATGGCTCACGGCTTTGGCCGCCGCGTCAGCAGCTGCCTTTCCACATGTTTCTGCGAAAGTTGAGTCCAATGTGTTCAACGCAGAAGTTGATCTGCAGGGCCTCTCTCCTACAGTCAAGGCTCTCTTTCTCCCACGCTCCTCTGGCATCACTTCTCCCAAAAACTCGACTTCCAGGTGCAAAGTTTACCCTGGAGACCCTGAGTGGCCCTCAGACGAAGCCTGGTCCCAGCTAAGCAAACTCACTGGCGACCGCGTCATCGCTGCGCCTACTCCTCGAGCTGCAGTTTGCTACCCAGGCGAGGACTACAACGCCGCAGAATGCTCCAAATATACCGTTGCAGAATGGCAGAAGTCCTACCTCCACATGGTTGATCCAATCGAGATGATGTCCCCAGTAGCACAGGGCATGACATGCACCATCCCAGCCCTCTTCGACTCTCACGGCTGCACTCGAGGTGGCTTTCCCATGTATGTCGTCAACGCCACCGAGCCCAAGCATGTTCAACTTGCCGTCAACTTTGCAAGGAATACGGGCGTTCGACTCGTCATTAAGAACACCGGCCATGACTTTCTCGGAAAGAGTGGTGGTAAAGATGCCCTTAGCATCTGGACGCACAACATGAAGGACATTGAGTACATTGAGGAGTATGTTGACTCAAAGCTCAACTACTCGGGCCCTGCATTCAAGAGCGGTGCTGGTGTCCAGGCGTTTGAACTCTACAAGGCTGCTTCTGAAAAGGGCAGAGTTGTTGTTGGCGGAGAAGGCGAGACAGTCGGCATTATGGGAGGCTACATCCAGGGAGGAGGCCACTCACCCCTAACTCCCCTTTATGGCACTGCTGCCGACAGTGTCCTCTCTATGGAAGTCGTCACTGCGGATGGCGAATTCGTCGTCGCAAACTCGACCTCCCACACCGACCTTTTCTGGGCCCTCCGTGGTGGCGGCGGCAGCACCTTCGGCGTCGTCACCTCCGTAACTGTAAAAGCGCATCCAGACCTCCAAGTCACTGCCTCCCGCTTCGGCTTTAAATCCAGCGACACAGGCGTAGAGACCTTCTGGTCCGCCATCCGCGCCTACGTCGACTCCTTCATCGCAAACGCTGACGCAAGCACCTACACATACTGGGTTCTAATCCCCACCAACGGCACCTTCTCCTTCTCCTTCTCCCCCTTCTTCGCCCCCGGAAAATCCCTCGAAGAAGCAACCGCCTTGCTCCAACCCTGGTTCACAGAACTCGACAACCTAGGCATCAAGTACGACCCAAACATCACCCACTTCGACAACTTCTACTCCGCCTGGAGCTCCTCCTTCCCGCTAGAAGCTGTCCAGAAGCCCAATGTAGCAACCGCCTCGCGCCTCTTTCCCCGCGCAAACTTCGAGACTGCGGAGAAGCGCCAGGAGTTTTACGAGAATATTCGTCGCTCATCGGAAAACAACCGTGTCCAGGTGCACTTCAACATGCAGGCTAAGGACCCATACAACACTGATAACGCGGTGAACTCGCACTGGAGGCCTCTCACCTCCTTCAGCATGCAATCGGTGCGCTGGCCCCTGAACAGCACTGCCGAGCAAATCCTCAAGATCCGAAAGGATTTCCAGGAGGGTGATATGCAGGCTTGGAGGGATATTAGTCCTGGTGCGGGTTCGTATCTTGCTGAGGCGGATCGCTTGGAGCCAGACTTTGGAGAGGCGTTTTTCGGTGAGAAATACCCGAGGTTGTTGGAACTCAAGGAGAAGTTGGATCCTGAAGATGTGTTTTTTGCGACGACCGGCGTGGGCAGTGAGCGGTGGAGGGTGGAGAGTGTTGATGGGCTACCGAATGAGAATGGAAAGTTGTGTCGTGTTGAGGTGTAAAAAAGTGGGATTGTAGGTGATGGGCGGTGTATATGATTTTCTTCTTCTTATATATATTTGGCATTATGCCTTCTTTATTTCCTTGAGTAGATCGGCCGTTCTTTTGAGGCCTTGTCGCTCATTGTACTGTACTTGTACGGAGATCAAAATTACATCCGTGAATGGGGAAGACATGCATTTGCAGCTTGAGAAATTAGAGATTATTCATATTTTCTTCGGCTTGCAGTCGTGATCCTAGGATATTCTTCCAACAACTTATTTGTAGGAAAAGATGAGTCTCATCTACATGAGAAACACCCGCCTTGCAACTTTCATCACGGGAATCATCAGCTTGTTCACTACGCCAGACTGTGGTGACCCATGCAAAAACCATGCATATACAGAATTCCAGGCATCATTACCATCACCTTCAAGAACATCTCCATGGCAAGGAATGATACGCACAATCTGCCACTGAGCCACTTTCTTCGCATCACGCCGCATAAGAGCGTAATCCACAGTCGCAATATAGTAGATAAGCCGCTTCATCCATACAGATCCTGGGTGTGCTCTCTTTGCAAATTCGCGTGAGAGCGGACCTTGGTCTGAAGAACTCGGGTGGTATTGCTGTTATGAATCAGCTCTTTGTACTTCAATCACGCAAAGATGGTCTGGAAAAGATCCTGACACGCAATCAAAAGCATACCTCAGTAGACGGTAAATTCATCATAAGATCGGATTGTATCAGTGTCTGCGTCGGCTTGTGGTACCAAGCCACACAGTATGTAATAAATCCTTCAAAGAGCACATTCTCCACATCTTGCGCAAAGTCAAATTGATCTTCAGGGGTTGAAGTCCAGTCTTTGTAAATATAGTCCCAATTCACGTCTTTTCTCTTCTTATCCAAGCCAGGAACACCAATGGTTTTTGCTTCTGGCCACGCATCCGTAAACTCTTTGATGAACATGTAGTGACCAAGGTCGCTGGCGATAAGGTGGACGCCTCCGAGTTGGTTGAGTTTTTCGCGCACGGCTTGGTTGAGTCGGATGGGGTTTAGCAGGAGGATGCGACCATCGTGTAGTCGGATGGCGGTTGCGCGGTTGCCGACAGCGACGAATTTGCGGTAGCCAAGGGGCGCAAAGCGGTTGAAGGGGACTGTGAATGTTGTGATTCGTGGGATGACGTCCCGGATTTTAAGTCCAGAAGTTAACATAATTTGAGATTCAAGTTTGTTTGGATTCGTCGAATTCTTTCGCACGCAACAAAGTGGATATCGTGTTTGCGCAACCTTGGGGAGGGCATGAGTAAGATGTTGTGTCTGGCGCGCACTTGTATACCATGCTTCATTATGGCGTCATGGAATACGCGGCGCTCCAGGAAGCCCGAAGTCCTACAACACCGCAACTGCCCATGACCGTTTTATGGCTCCTCAATTCATGTGACAGAACTTCTGCACTTGTGAAGGCTGCGGAAGACGCAAACCTGATCATGAAGACTCGTAGAACTCTTCAGTCTCTTTTGATTAATTCGATCCAAGAGTGATTGGAACTACAAATAGCTACCACTTGAGAAGCGGTCACTGAATCCTTTGGACTTGTTTAACATTTCCCTCCGTTGTTTGTGGGTCGTCATGCCACCGACAGCCATGTCCTTTTTGTAGTCGAATGCACGCTTGCTGGGATCGTCTTCTTCTTCTTTTCCGGTGCCCTTTTCCTGATGTTGCTCGACAAGACTCTTTCCTCTACTTGCATCAATCTTCTCACGCATCTTGCGTGCACGGCGCTCTTCCTCTTTGCTGCGCTTCGACTCCGACGTAGCAGGAGCCGCGTTAGTAGGCGCGGTGATGCCCAGAGCCTCGTCCTGCAACCGCTTGAGCTTCTGCTCTGGAGTCTCTGTCCAGGCGCTGCTCATTCCTCCCGTACTGCCCGCGCTCTTGCCTGTGTTGAACTTGCGAGCGCGCATCTTTGTAGGGTCCATACGGGCAGCAAGATCGTCCTGGGTAGGCGGTAGAGTCATCCACTCGTCGCGCTGTGCCGCCTTGGGAGCCTCGGCAAATTGGGGCTCTGTGTCAAAAGCAGACTTTGCTGAGGCGATATCGAAGCCTGATTGAGCACCTCCTGGTGGTGGTGGCGCTGGCCCAAAGTCATCATCGCTACTGTCCGAGTCATCGTCACTGGGAGGGTCCTGAGGTCGCTCCTCAAGAGGCGCAGGAGGCGCGGCAGGCCCTATGACTCGGGCTGGTTTCGAACTGGGCGGAGGTGCCGGGCCAATATCACTGTCTACGCTGCTTGATCGCGAACGACTTTGTGGTGGTGGAGCTGCTGGGCCGGCGACCCTTTGGCGCTTGTCGGTCGACTGTGGACTGGATTCGCGGTCGTCGTCAGCCTCATCGCGGCTGCGTTTGGCAAGGTGTGGCGGTAATGTTGGTCCTATTGAGGGCATGCTGGGTATAACTTTTCCCAGGTGTTTTGGGTGAAGGGCTTACTGTCGCGTGCAGCAAGGTGACGTCCTTGGGGGAGCTTGGACCTTGGCCATGGGTGCGGCAGATGCGGCCATTTGCGAACTGTGCCGTCAGTTCCTCAGGTACACCACCCTGGCTATACTGGAGCCACAGACTCGCACTGGATCCTCTCGTCCTCCTACGCATACAAGAATACACGGCGACCATACCCACCGCAGCGTTGCCACGGCGCAATTGAACCCTTCCGCCCAGCCACCAGCCACAGCATCCGTGGCGCGAACCATCACCCAGGCCCCCGCGCATTCGTCATTCCACACCGGCACCCTCCCTAGAGCTACACTGCAAGAGCCGGGCCATACATTCTCGCTGCCATCCAATGATCGTCTGAAGCAATGCTGCGTGCAGAACGAGCCCCATGAGCTCAGATTCAGGAGAGAGCCATTCCAGCGCTCACAACCACTATGGCCAACAGGCAGACGTCACGGGAAGCGCCAGGGATGATTTGGCTGAATACGAGGATAGTGTCGATGAGAGCGTCATTTCCCAATCAGGCGCGGGGAAAGAAGAGGATGGAGGTACAGATGGGGTCCCATCGGCAGACGACGGTTCTGAGAAGTTGACATTCGCAAAAACGAGGCGGACTGGCCCACGAGAACGTGTACAAAAGTCGGCTTCAGATTTATCAATAAGATCCAAGGCTCTGAATGACGACAGTCCCGCGTCGACAGACATTCCAGACGACACTCCATCAGTCCAAGGCTCAGGCATATCATCCCCCACAAGCAGCCAGCCTCTATCACACAGCTCACTCCGCCCGCATCGCCCAACCTCCTTGCAGCCCTTTGAGCGTCGCTTTTCTTCGCGCCTATCCCCCTCCCCGCTTTCTTCGCCTCGAGGAACCTCGCCTGCCTTTCTGTCACCGCATTCACGGCAATCTTCTATATCTAGCAATGTTGTCATCCAACATTTGACAGACGACGCCTCCGAGGCCTCTCAGGCACCATGGGAGGTTGTCCGCTGGACAAAACTTCGAAAAATCACAGCCCAGGTCTTTTCAGAGGTTGGCAAGCGCAATTTTGGCCGCCCAACATGCCTAAACGTCACCGTTTCCCTCGCCATAGGTACCTCGAAAGGCTTCATTCTCATCTTCGACTACCAGCAGGTGCTCAAGTCTATCATCGGACCAGGGACAAAGGCCATAGAATGCGGCTCCATCACTGCCCTAGCTATCTCTGCAGACCATACTACTATCGCTGGAGGTCATGCTACTGGCCACATCTTCACTTGGGAATTGGCCAAACCCGCCAAGCCTTTTCTTCATATCCCACCCCTAGACAGAGAAAGCTTAGAGGATGGCAAGACAGACGGCCACGTATCGGGTGTAGCAATCCTACACCTGGGGTTTTTGGGGACACGCCATACGGCACTCGTCTCCGCTGATGATGCTGGTATGGCATTTTCCCACCTGGCAACACGTGGGTTAGGCGCCCTTGGCCGCACAGTAAAGACGACTCGGATTCTAGGAAGGTACCCCCTATCGGCAAAATCACTAGAAAAACCACGAAAGCCGAGTTCCGTCTTCGCCTTTGCTCCACTACCTCTCGGAAACGTGGAGCAGCCGACCGACGACATGGGCCTAACGGCTCTCTTGACACCCTATCTTTTGGTAATCGTATCAACCACCCCTATTGCGCAAACACAGCACAAGGCCCCTCGTCCAAAAGATGTTGTAGCACATAGTGCGCTGAGCGGATGTCTTGCTTGGTTTCCAGCAGTCAAGCTGAAGACTTCGAGTGGGCCGACCAATGCAGTGTCCAAAACCAAACTTGTGTACTGCTGGTCAAACGTCCTGACTGTACTTGATGTCCACTCGGATGCAGCAGCATCTTTAGAAAAGGACAAACCGCCAGAGCTTCGTTTCAAACCTCGTAGCCGTTGGAAGGCAGAAGAGGCAATCGTCGCTGTTCAATGGCTCAGCAGATCAGTCCTGGGCGTACTAACAATCAGTCAGCGCTTGATGATTCTAGAAGACAACACTTTACGTGTGACCGACTCTTTTGATCTGCTCCAAAAGCACATTTACCACTCTGATCTCTTCTCGCGCCAACTCAAACCCGTCGTTGAGCAGTTAGATGAAAACGATGCTTCGATGCATGGCGTTGTGGCCGACGCCTTCTACATGAGCTTTAGAGTGTACAAGGGCCGCATGTTTCTGCTAGGCTTCAACGACTGTTCTATTGGCACTCTTTCAAACTGGGCAGATCGTTTGTTGGCACTCATGGAAGATGGTGATTACATTGCTGCCCTTGGCCTCGCAACTTCATACTATATTGGTGATGCAGACAAAATCACTGTTGGATTACCCGAGGATGATGAAGCACGCCATGCTTTAGTGCAGCCGAAATTGCGTGAGATGATTACTGCATCACTCAAATACTCCTTCTCGCAAGACAGTGATGTCGACGACGAAGCAAGAGAGCGGCGACTGAAAGAGCTGGCCGAGGTGGTGTTCGCAGGACTAATGAGTATGAAAGAGCTCGACTTTCTTTTCGAAGATGTGTATGATGCCTATGAAGAAGCATCGGCGGAGAAGGCTTTTTTCGAAACCCTCGAGCCGTATATACAAGACGAAGAGATTGATTCCATACCACCCAACGTTCTGAAGGATCTCATCACCTTCTACGCCTCAGCGAACCGCTCAGTCCAACTTGAAGAGATGATTTGTCGACTCAGCACAGACACAATGGATCTCAACCAGGTCACAACACTTTGCCAGCAGTATGTCTTGTATGATGCGCTGATATATGTCTGGACCAATGCAATTGGAGACTACATCACGCCTCTCGTCAACATTCTAGAGCTGATTAAGCTGGTGGATTTTGACGTGAATGAAACGGACAACATCTACCTCACTGCGGCCAACAAAATCTTTCCATACCTCGCATATACCTTTACAGGACGGGTGTACCCTGGAGGTGCATTCATGAACGACGACCAGGCTTACAGTGCGAAGAAAGATATGTACCGTTTCTTGTTCTCAGGAAAGAACCTGCAATGCCCCCCCGGCTCTGGACAGGTCATACTCACACAAACCGACGGTAGTCCTGAACCACCTTTCCCTTACCTGCAACTGGTCCTTGACTTTGATGCTTCAAGCTTCATGAGCATGCTGAACGAGGCCTTTGAAGATAGCTTTTTGAATGGTGAGCAAGACATGTCCAACGGTACACAAGTGAACGGCACAAAGAGCGGCTCTACCCTTACACCAACTCGCCAGTCCATCATCAACTACCTGTTTGGTATCATGAATACGGACAATTTTGATCCGGCAGACATTATCTATTTCTACATGTTTGTAGCCAGAAATCTGCCCAAGTATCCACAACACATCATGCTGCCAGGAACGTCTTTACACCAGGTCCTTGTTGGTCTATGTAGCTATCCCGCAGAAGCGATGAAGGAAGACTGTCAGCTCTCTGTCGAGTATCTGCTTTCTATCTACCATCCACCGAACCCACAGTCTCTCATCCCGCTGTTCGAGAAGGCTGGATTCTATCGCGTGTTGAAGTCTGTCTACCGCAGCGCACAACAATATGACAAACTGCTGGAAACATACCTGGATGAGGAGGAGGAAGAAGACTCTGTGTTTGCATGTATTGCTGACATTCTGCGGCCAAACAAAGGTCTTACAAAGAAGCAGCTCAACGAGGTCAAGGCAGTTATCCTCAACCGAGCTGCTGACCTGGCTGCTATTGGCGCGTCACAAGCCGCTTTAACAGTAAAGCAATACACCCCCGATCTCTTAGAGTCAGTTCTAGATGCCATCAAAGAGGATACTGATGCTCAATATCACTTCCTTGAGGCTCTCGTCGAACCGAACCGGGCGCAGGCAGGAGGCACCAAGCCCATCGATGAAACCCTTCCATCAGGCTTCATTGAAAGATATGTGCAACTCATGTGCACTTATAACAGTTCACATGTGGCGGACTTTGTCAGTATGTTGAAATCGGGTGATCTCAAACTGGAACCCGTACTTCCAGCCTTGGAGCAGAGTGGTGTCATTGACGCTGCAGTCATACTCATGGCACGTGACGGAATTGTTCAAGGAGCTATGGACCGCTTAGTCAAGCATTTGGGTACGCTTGAGACTGCCTTGACGGGACTCATCAACGGCGCTGCGGAAACGCCCGATGCAGCAAATACAGAAGAGGCAATTCACGATATCCTCGACGACATTCAGAAGTACATCAAAGTCGGCGTATGGCTATGCCAAGGCCAGACGCGGATAACAGAGCGAACGCCAGAATCTACCATTGATCGGCGGAAGTCAGCCTATGGTGAAGTGCGCGAAGCCGATCTTGCCTTGGATGAGCTGCTGTGGCTCGACCTCGTTGATACCTCTGTCCGTCTCATCAGAGATACATCCAGTGCAGTTGCCGAACACGACGCTCGTATTTCCTCATCAAACAACGCTCCAGCCGACACAGTCGACACAGCACGCATCGTCTCCACCCTTCGCTCCTCAATCCAGCAAACATTCTCCGCCCTCCTGACATCCACCACCATTCCCCCAGAAAGGAAACCAACCCGCCGAACACTTAGCATCGACGCAGTCCCGACTCGTCCTCCACTACAATCAAAACCTCAATCCAACCCTTCCTTCCTCCGCATCCTCCGCTGCTTCCTCACCCGCGCATCAACCACCTATTCCCCCTCACTCTCGGACCTGCGCTCCGTCCTCTCTGAGATTTTCGCAGCCTATACTTTCGAAGAAACAATCCTCAGCCTCGCCAACCGCTTCCTCGATAAAGAAAGCTTCACCCACGTCCATCAAATCACCGAGCTACGCAAGCGCGGATGGCGGCCCCGCGGCCAAGTCTGCGAGGCGTGCAAGAAACGTGCTTGGGGTCCTGGCGCGGGACCAGGTGTTTGGGATGCCTGGGAGAAGCGCGAGGAGATGAGGTTGAAGAGTAGGGAGGAG